GTAACTCATTCTGGTTGCGTAATCCAAACGACGTACGAATTTGGAATTATCTTCAGTTCATTACCAAACAATGACCTATCTACCCTCCTGTTTGACCTTATTGAAATTGTTTCATATACAGGTGATTGTAAAGGCCTAAAAAGGAATTTATCGAAAATCTATGTTCGCCAACATTGTGTGTCTAATCAGTGGGTATATTTCTCGACAGGTGAAATTCTGTATTTTGAAGTAATGTAGCAGATTATTGAGTCTCCGCTGGGGCATATATGACACTTGGTGTGTTAACCTCGAAAGAAGTAGTAATATTTCGTGTTTATATGTCTGCTTATATGCTAATCGATACTGTGTTCTTTCAAATACTATACCAAATTTACAGAATATTAAAACCTGACGGGCTTCTGTCTTTTACTTGAATGGACGGTTGTTGAATGCGATTTATTACGACTACCGCTTAAATTTCGTCGCACATGCAGTGGATTTATTTGTTGATAATCACTCCTAAGTACCCATGGCATCTCCCCAACATCCATCTCTTCGTTATTGGATAAGTTTATACTGCAGAAATGTGACTATTTAGAGCCGAGACGTGAAACATGAACTTTTCGCCGGAGGCTAGTGGTATGGTACAGAATGCGAATCTACAACACTGTCATATCTTCAAGATACGGTACGCTTCAAGTCGATTGCGGATTAAGTTCGCAATTGACATCGTCAGTTCGAATGCATGCGGTACAGAATAACAGTCCAACATAATGTTAACACCAAGTGCTGAACCACTGAATCGGATTTTTATGGGGAATATTAAAAATCTTAAGGGGTTGCCGATTGTAAGGCACTTTATCGTTGATGCAAATACAATGGTTTATATTTTGACTCAAGATATTGCACGTGCTAACCGTTATATTTAATACAATACGCGAAAAATGTTTTACGTCACAAATAAAAAACTAGCTGGTAATCTAAGGTTAAATCGGGCTAACTTGTTACGCTTCCTTTGTGAATGGGTACACATGCGGGGTAGGTTACAACAGAATTCCTGTACAGGTTATCACAAGACTGAGTGTTTCAAAAACCAAAGCGCATGCACCTATATTAAGAAACGCATGTTAGTGTAGTGTGCGAAGGGTGACTAGGGTCCGAAAGAAACTTCTGTGTAAAGTTAACACAATAATCCGTGCTGATCAGAAAGTTACGCAACTAACTGGATGACCAAAAGTGTGGGAACGCAACTAGTAATCATTACACTGCGGTGTAAGATTTTCAACTTCTATTCAAGTAAATTAGGGACGAGGACCATAAAATTGTAAACTGAATTTGGTCAGGTATTTGCATACAAAAGCGCGATTAATGACTTGGTAAGTATGAGATTTCGAACATGAAATGGCAGATGCTGTAGTTTTATAACTCGATTGCAGATAAAGTGATATTTGAAAATTGGAATGATTCCTACTTCAGTGAAGTGGTATTTACTCGTTGTATATAGCCACTATAATTTATAATGAGGTTGGTTAAGAAACAAACGGTTTGCAAATATTTACTGTTGATGTTACGGTAGATGTTATATATTACGTTAAACTAGAAGAAACCCCGTTTAGGTCGAAAGATGATGTGGAAACGAGGCATGAAGAAATGCAGAGAGCGATTAGGCAGTGTAGGTGTCTCCGTTTTCCAGGTTGGGGTCCGCAAGGCTGTAACTGGTTGGTTAGAGACATTAAAGCATATGACCGCGAACCGAAAACAGTGGCGTTCTTGATGTTGTTTCTTATTGGATCAGAAAAGGTGTGTATGCATGGTTAGGTTGGGCACTCTGTGTGTTAGCCGTAGAGGTTCACGTTCCTTGCCTCGCTCCCTGTGCTCTTTGCACATTCTCACTTATCTTGCATGCTCTATGAGCGATCGGTGGAGTCCACTTCACTATATTTCGCTGTATGATGATGATAATAATTTTATGTTGAAGTTTTTTCCCGGTTTATTCGATCACGTTTTCGCTCTGTAAATATTTGTCGGATGATGGTCTTTGCTTTTGAGGTGACTTAGATCGCTTTCGAGATTGAATAGAAGTATCAGTCGATAAAGGCACATGTGATAAACATAATTTTATGATTTCCAAGTTTCATGAGGTTGTATTTCAGTGAGTTGATACATCTACTAACGGCAAATTTGTTTACTTATTTATTTTTCTGTCACATTGTTTTTGCAGTGATCGTCACATCAACGCATTTCACAAGAGTTTATTGGTTATGCTTCGTTCTCGACTGTTTGGTCAATGTGTATGGCAATACTCGGGATTGACATCCTCAAGATGCCTCAAGCTAATGAAACCAAATATAGAAGTCCCTAGCCTACTCGATCGTACCAAATACCGACTTGGTGTTGGAGACTTACGCTACCCAGCAAGGCAGTTAAAAGCCGCTGGTGAAAACATGTTCGCGATATGTGCTGAGTATCCGGTGTTTGAGGAATTTGTGGATAAGCTTTCCCTTCCAGACACCTTTCAGTCATGGTTTTCCTTGACAGCTTTACATATTTGGATGTGCCTAATACGACTTCGGCGCGAGGGTGTTGAAGGTCAGCTTATTAAACGAACTTTGGTGAATGTAAGCGCAAAATTTTATAACATTAATTTCACTAGCTTCTGTGGTTAGATCTCCGTTCAAGAATGCGCACATTTAAAATCCTGCTTAGACAACATCACCAAGTGAATGCCTTTCAAATGCAATTTTTCGGATCTATGTTCGCCTACGATGAAGGATTGCTGTCACATTCGGATGCCCTTTTGGCCACAGCTTTATGGAGAAACCTGTTCATGTCATGCGACACAACAAGCGCAGTTGAACTGGAACTAGCCCTGGAATACTTGCGAAAAAACCTAGCACATTTGGATAGTCTTTCTTCGACGACTATCCTACGGTTCGGAACTCCTACTTTTTTACCTCTTGTAGGAAAGGAGCTCAACGCGCACTTTGCCAATGATCGTTTACGATATTGTCTTTCCTGGCCAGAATTCGTCAATTGAACTCGAACTGTTAGACTACAGTGTCTGTTTTGCTTTGTACATATGTATCTCACCAATAGTAGCCTCGTCCCTAATCTTTTTCATTTCGTCATCATTTAATTTGGAAATTGGTTGACCATCTTTGATTCTCCGAGAGCAACCGTTTTTCGTTCTTTATTTGAAGACAATGTCAATTAGAGCTTATGTTTAATCCGTTTAGATTACGGTGGTATCGGCACCCGTCATATTTTTAGCACGCATTGTCCATTTAGGCATCAGTTAATCCCAGAGTTATCATGAACAATTGGACCGCATTTGATACTGGTCGGCGTGCACAGCAGAGAACTGTGGTGTATCAGTTCTTACCTCACCAAGCCAGTTAAATGAGGAGCCTTTTTGATGAACGTTCAGATTTGGCAGTTGTCAGTTTGGGGTAATACCCTTCAGACGACAAGCTAATTGTCAATGGTAATAAAGCTTATCGTGGCTGCTAGTAACACAACTGCCTCGACAAAGATGTTTCGCTTGAAAACCTTGATGGACGGAGCATTTTTCCAATCGATGTCTCTGATTTATGTGCGGCGCGTTAAATCACTCAGTTGAATAGACTGGTTATCAATACGCGCTTTACGTAATCTAATACTCACATCTGAGATTGTAAAATTCAATATTTATTTTTCAGTCCTTCGCGACTATGCTTTTTTTCTTGTATTTGTGCTCAGATGTCACAGTAACGAACCACTGGAACTAGAACTGCTTTTCTCCACCATCTGATGTGCCTAATGAACATCCTGCCCATCCTAAACGGGTTTGTTGACCATTGTTACATGTCGATTGTAGGCTGCACATTCTACTTGAATGTTTTGATTAAAAGCAGTTTGACCGATGAAAAACGAGAAGATGTATACGGATTTTAATTATTCTGCTTCTATCCATTCGAGCGTGTTCCTTAAACTAACTCTTGGTTACCTAACGATATAGTCATTGGTTGAAATTTACCTTAGATTCCCATTTGGACTCGCCAAGCCCCCTAAATTGACTTAAAATGGAATGTTAGATGCTAGAGAATCACTTTATTCGTACAAGTTGTTGCATCTTTGAGCATTAGTGCATTGCCAAAACACAAGACAACTTCATTGCCTGGGTGTTTGGATACATTCTGCTCGCGAGCATCTTTGGAGAGGACTGCTAAACCAAGTCGAATTTAGATAAATCCTCAACCATTGAATCGCAAACGAAAACATGCAGATTAGCTGGGAGATTTCATAAGCAGCTCTGGACGTCCCATAACTATCAAGTACCGTCGATTGTATTTGGATTGATTGATGCAGCTGATGTCTGAAAGCAAATAACTTCGTTTGGTGAATTGGTTTCTCTTTACTTTGGTAGATTACGTATTTCCTTCAGTGGGTCGGATACTTATCTTTGTGACAATAACGATGTTCATCGATGAGACTGTTAGCGAATGAAATACTGATAGCCATCCAGATAAATTGTCCTTTTGATCTTTCAATCATTGCAAAGGTGAATTTTGATTCCCTTCACCAATGGCACATGGGTTCTTCACCTAATTGAGGCTAGTTCCCCCACATCTGTATTTTAAAGCACTTTCCAGATTGGCTCAGTTTCAAGTTTGATAACCATTAACCATGCACACTCATGCGGCGGTTCTGATTGCTCATTAAGACAGAAGAGTAGTGGAAAT